AAAAAAAAAAAAAAAAAAAAAAGACAGAGAGAGATAATTCTTGTAAACCGCTTAGCACAGTGTTTAGTAAGTGCATAGTAAGTTTCAGTATGTGGTAACTACTACATGGCATTCAGTATTCAGATCCTTCATAATTTAGCCTCTCCCTGTCTTTCTAGTCACACCTTCTGCCACATCACTACTCCAGCATCACTCCCCCAACAGCCAACTCTCTGTCATGCCTCTATGCCTTTCTTTCTCCTTAGAATCCTTTTCCTTTCTTGTCTAATTTTATGGGATAGTGGAGTCTTCCTGAACACCCATTCCTCTCTTTCCAGGCACAATTTATATAACTGTGGAGATGATGCCTTCTGTAGTCTCTGGAATAGTTCCAATCTCAAATAATGTCTGTTGTAAAGACTCTGTTCCCATTTTTTATTCTGAAAATATGGTTATCAAACCATAGCACTTACACAAAGTTTATGATGGCACCTATTACATTGTATTCTAGTGATTCACATGTCTGTTCCCTTCATTAGTCTGTGATCTTTTTGAGGGCAGGGGCTTAATCCTTTCCTTTTTTTAATTAAAAAAAATTTTTTGGAGACATGGTTTTGCTCTGTCACCCAGGCTGGAGAGAAGTGGTGCAATTTTAGCTCACTGCAGCCTAGACCTCCCGGGATCAAGTGACCCACCCACCTCAGTTTCGTGAGTACCTGTGACTATAGGTGCGTGCCACCATGCTCAGCTAATTTTTGTACTTTTTGTAGAGATGGGAGTTTTGCCATGTTGCCCAGGCTGGTCTTGAACTCCTGAACTCAAGCAATCTGCCTGCCTCAGCTCCCAAAGTGTTGGCATTAGAGGAGTGAGCCATCCTGCCTGATGATGGGCTTAATCTTCATCTATGTATACCAGGAACTCTAATAGAGCCTGGGACGTAGCCTGGGCTAAATAATGTTAATTGAGCAAATTAATTAATGAATGATTAATTGAATAAATAAGCCATCCTCTTATTGTAGAATCCTTTCCTTGCTCTTGCTAGTCCCCACCCCTTCATTCTAATCTTAGAAACTGTTCTGGCCAGGCGTGGTATCTCACACCTGTAATCCCAGCACTTTGGGAGGCCGAGGCAGGCAGATCACGAGGTCAGGAGATCGAGACCATCCTGGCTAACACGGCGAAACCCCGTCTCTACTAAAAATACAAAAAATTAGCCAGATGTGGTGGCACGTGCCTATAATCCCAGCTACTTGGGAGGCTGATGCAGGAGAATTGCTTGAACCCAGGAGGTGGAGGTTGCAGTGAGCCAAGATCGCGCCACTGTACTCTATCTAGCCTGGGCAACAGAGGGAGACTCTGTCTCAAAAATAAATAAATAAAATAAAGACAGTGTTCTAAGATATGAAGGAAACTTTAATAAAGGTGTGGGTGTGCACTCATGTGTACTGAAGTCTGTACCTGTGGCCCTACTTTGAGGTCATCGGATTGTATCCCCTTTCCCAAAGCATGTATTGGTGAACTCCCTTTTCTGTTTCCTTGGGGGCACTAAGCCAACACGTCCTGCTCTGCCCCTGTTTCCACACCCTGTCACGTCACCACAGTTCTACTATGCCAGGAATGTTACTGGAGAGGAGTGGTTCCATGACTCAGAGGACACCCCAGGGATTGAGTGGGAGTGAGGGCGCCCCAGGGACTGAGTGGGAGTTGATGAAATTAAAAATAAAAATAGTGGTAGTTGGTGAAAATAAAAACTAAAAATATAAAAAATTAGCTGGACGTGGTGGTGTGTGCCTGTAGTCCCAGCTACTCGGGAGGCTGAGGCAGGAGAATCGCTTGAACCCGGAAGGTGGAGGTTGCAGTAACCCAGCGCCACTGCACTCCAGCCTGGGCGACAGAGCCAGACTCTGTCTCAAAAAATGAATAAAATAAAATAAAATAAAATAAAATTCACAGATTAGCTCACAGGGAGAAGATTCCTCTGTTTGACTGCATTGGTCATTCTGGGATTTATTAGTCTGCTTCCAATTTTAAAATCAGAAACAGCTTTACATCAACACCAGCCGATTTCTGAAGTAACTCAGGAAATGGTAGCAACCCTATGCCTTTCCGGAAAACAAGGATAATTTATTCAACAAATATTTATTTATTGAATACCTATGAGCCAAATCCTGTGCTAGACAGTGTGCCCCTCACCAGTTCCTGTCCTGTTTAGTTGAGTGGAGGGTATAGGTATAGGCAATTATAAAATACTTGAACACTACAAAATTCCGCTGCTGTGGAATTACAAACAAGATTTTGTCTACTTCCGGTGCCCAAAGGAAGACGAACACTCCAGCAGGTGGCAGCAGGGAAACAATTATTTTAGATCTTCGTAAGGGAGGAGTAGAAGGCTGCCGTAAATGCATGGGGATTTATCCTTTTTTTTTTTTTTTTTTTTTGAGGCGGAGTTTCGCACTTGTTGCCCAAACTGGAGTGCAATGGCGCCATCTCGGCTCACCGCAACATCTGCCTCCCAGGTTCAAGCAATTCTGCCTCAGCCTCTCAGGTAGCGAGTAGCTGGGATTACAGGCAAGCTCCACCACGCCTGGGTAATTTTGTATTTTTAGTAGAGACGGGGTTTCTCCATGTTGATCAGGCTGGTGTTGAACTCTCGACCTCAGGTGATCCGCCCGCCTCCGCCTCCCAAAGTG